GCAGACACGATAAACAGACATCTATCAACTTGCCGCTTGTGAGACTCCTTCACAGACGTTGCCAGGCGAACCGCACAGAGGCGACTATCAACAGGTATCCAGTCAAGTAAGGATACTTCCGCCCGGTGACTTAGCACAATACCAACCCCTACACATCCCACTGCAGGAGCCTCTGGAGCACCAGAGGTGCGCAGACGGAAGCGAGTGGAGACTGACGGGGCTGTTAACTCAACCACTGTGCTTGCATCTTGAATTGTCGTTTCTGTGAGTATCGCGGGACACTCTCCAGTATAGCTCAATGGATCGCTGAGGTGCGCAAACCGTCACACCACGGTAAGGTCCAGTCTCTTCCAACGCATCCTCTGGTGCTGAACACATTCTTCGGTGAAAGTCCCCATTGCGTAGGCGAACATTCACTTTCTAACTGTCTCCTTAAGGGTTTGTCGACATCAACCCACACGAGCTGTGGTTCTGAGACAGCCGCCGTGGAACACACGAAGACCTCCCAGTTCCGTCGCTTGGACGGGCCCAGAGGCTTCATAGCCACACGGCAAAGCAACCCGTACTGTGACCTGATACACACGTCCCTTGAGATTCAGGTATGTACCGCTTCGAAGCTATAGATGATTCAAATTAGCAAACGCAACGCAACCCTTGCAGATTTGGGGCAGTGAATTCATCTGCCACGCTACAATTGGAGCTAGTACGACCTCAAGATACGTAAAACATCACTTACCGAGTGCCCCTCCATGGATTGCAAGTGGCGTGTTCAGCGACTGCACGTTCAGGATGATGACCTTACGTTTCGTGGGTGCGAAGCTCGTGCCAAAGGACACTGATCAATTCACTCAATAACGCCTCGCGTTCTCCAGTTCGAAGATGAGGACGGTGTCATCTGCACAGTCCAGCTCGACAATGTTTTTGCGAACAACTGTTTGAGACCCCGGGTTTTAAAGGCCTGGAGTTCGTCTGATTGTCTCGTCGACCACAAAACTAAATAGGAATTGGGAAATTGGGCGGTGTTGACGGTATCCACATTGTGTACAGAAGTTTTTTGGAGAGCTCTTCGTATACTTTCACAAGCCCGGAAAGCCGAGAACACAAAAAACTTATTATTTTCACAAACTTCTGACCATTCCTTGCTGGGCAAGCTTGTCAAGGAGAGCATACCGATCAACCGAATATAATGTGCTTTGGAAATCCAGGAAGAGGGAAACCCACGATACTTTAAAGGACTTCACCTTCACCGCCCAGGGTTCTGCTTCAGCTGTAGGATCTGGATGAGTGGCAGCCTGTGACCACGAGAATTGTTGTTCAAAGTGCTCTGCTCAGCCGCCAAGGCATCCTTTATCCAAGATAGTTTCACCACTCTGATCCTCGATGGTTTCGGTCACAGGCGGTTTCCGGAGACCGGTCGTTTGGATAAACTGAAATGATCCTTGGGCATTCCGGACTTTCTGGGCTTCTTCTTTCCTTTCGTTTCCTTAAGCTTCCGAGTCCACCAGACTTCACAGTCAGACTGTACGATCACTTTCATTTGAAGTCAATTCATCGGGCTAGATTATGTTAGGGACCGACGGGAAAATTTCTCCGGGATTCAAGCGGTGACACTGTTCATCTGATATCCAGTGCTTGAGCAGACCTGGCAGCGCCGTGTCACAGGTAAAACTCCCAGCGCTGTGCAAAGATATGGCGATCTCGGTCCAACATGAATTTACATTTGATGGTAAAAAAATCGTTCAGCCATAACGTGCTTTCGGTGCCTATCTGTCATGCCACCCGTAGGAAGCACGAGGACTGGGTACCGCTAGGTTGCCCAAGTTCAGACAGATTGGGTTTGAACCTCGGACCCTCCGGTCAGTAAGTTCGTGCATTATCTCCAACAGTTTGTGAGAAACTCCAGAAGACAATTCGGCGAGACGACAATCACACCCTATTCCAGCTAATCCGATCAAGTTGTCCGGGTAGGATGAGTGTTAGCGAAGTGATCTACGAAAAAATGGTACCTAAATTTATTCACGAAACGTCATCTTGAATGATGCTCTGGACACCTTGAAGAACAGTTCAGCTAGACCCCATCAACTCAGCCTCTTAAAGGACAACATGAACACTAGTAGAACATAGGCATCATACCGCCATCGTCGACGGAAGTCTAGCGTGTAATCTCGTTGCTTCAGTGCAACAAAACACCTGGACCATACGGTCTTCACTGCGCACTTTTCAAAGAAAGCGACCAGTCCATCGTAGCTTAACTGACCACCCTACTCCAAAATGCTTGGAATAAGGAACGAATTCTAACAAAATGGAATGCATTGGCGGTGACTTTCCTATTCAAAAATGGTGCAAGAGCATCTTACGAATATTGGCGGGGCATCAGCCTAGTAGGGGGCGAGATGGCCCAAGTGGTTAGAGGCCGAATTTACTGACCGGAAGGTCCGTGGTTCGAATCCGACCTCTGCCACTCGACTTCCCTTGTCTAGGCTTGGGCAACCTGGCAGTATCCCAGCCCTCGTGCTTCCTTCGGATAGCATGGCAGCTAGGCACCGGAAGGGTGTTACAGCTGAATGCTTTCTTTTCTTTCATCAGCCTAGTAACTATAGCCTTCAAAGTGCTCTCTAGTGTCATTTTACGCTACTTGGTCTGTCATCATCGGGACTGCATCGATCGTATCTCCATCTTGTGACAAATATTGGAACCGCGCCACCCTACGACGACCAACAATGATGGTCTTTCTCGATCTCAAATCTGCTTTTGCGTCGCTTATTCTACTTCGTCTGACGAAGGCGCATGAAGAGGGATCCGAGAAAAGCAAGCAAGATTCCGGCCGGGAAGGGCTGTATGGATCACATGTCCACAATACAAGTGTTAGGGCAATGGCACGCGTACGGATTTCAATAGTGCGTTCAATTCTGTCGACCGGTTTGTTCTTTATAACACGCTTACAGAAAGTGGTACGCTCCAGAGGTTCGTGTTTGTATTCACTTGCTTGTGGGCGCGTGAGAGTACATGGGGAGTTCTCCAAAAGCTTTCCTACAAGCAGTATTGTCCTTCAAGGATTTCCACTTTCTCGACTTTTGCTGAACTTCGTTATTAATGAGGTAAACTCTGGAAGGTCTGAAAAACTCGGTGTTCAGATCTCTGCGAGCGAGGACTTTGTTGACTGGAATATTCAGAAAACATTGTTCTCATTTTAGAAGGCAATATGAAGCGAATAAAACACCATAAATGCTGACCGAGCTGATCCAGTAGCTCGCATGTTTCGCGACCACCAAGTGCAAAAGCTTGTTCTGGGCAGAATCTGACGTGGCAGAAGGGAATGATATGAGAAGTATGGTCACTGTTTTTGTTGTTCGACTTCCAAGATGGAGTTCACCTTGACCTCCCTGTGTTTGGTTGGAGAGGCTGAACGATGCGGCAGCTAACTTATGTCAGTGGCGTTCATGCAGCCAGCTTTCATCCAGATTGTCTGACTGAGTGTCGGGTGTGTAGGTACCTTGGATGTTTGTTATAGACTAGCCCTAGGTTCCCTTTCTCCCCCATTTATTTATTTCTACCGTAAGGCTTTATTCAAACTACCTGACATCCTTGTACGGTGTTCCCATCTGATGTTTCTCCTAATTATGATGATGATGATCGCGCTGCTATTTTGTTTCCTCGGCTCTTCTGCGTTCCATTTGAAGGTGTTATTGGCGATGGGTCCGTTCGTCCTGTAAAAATTCCACTGTGCAGTATAAAGTGGGACAAAAACAAGGACGGCGTTACGTCAGCGTATTAGATTACTTGACATATTTCGTGCAGAATGCATGCGCGGTATCTTTTGGATACGATGATCATGTTGAATTCTGAGGTCACCAAATTATTGAACAGGGCGAGAGCGCGAATTTACTGACCGACAATTCCGTGATTTCTAACCGACCTCTCCGTTTCGACTTCCCTTTTCTGGGCTTGGGCAGCCCGGAAGTATCCCCGCCCTCGCGTGGCACAGCAGCTTGGAGCCGAAAGTGTCACAGCTGAACGATTTTATTTTGAAGTTGCAAAGCTAAACGAAACAGACTGTACCGTAATTCACAACCAGCTGGATAGAACCCTTGATTTGAATGGTGGATGCCCGTATGTAGGAGCAACTCGCCCACAATTGCCCCCGATTTCTAAAGTAATTTGGAAGCCTACTTTTCGACGCTTGGTTTAACGACCTGGTCAACTGCTATCCGTAGGGGGTCAGCATATTTCAACACTCGACTGCAATCATATAATTCGACCAGACCAGAGATTAAGACTTCATACCGGGATCCTGTTTATAAAGAAACCTTTGAGCTTCCTGGTCTTGATGTCAGGATTTCACAGACTACACTTGATTCTTGATAATGTGTGCACCTGGCTTAGTAGCCCATATTGTGAGTGCCCAACTACCTTTGAGTTGTCGATATTTATGATGTTTTTTTCTTCAGCTTCAGCCGTTTATTACGCTCATTCTAGTCATCTAGAAAAATTTCTCAAAACGCAGACGTTCATCATGCAACGAAAAATGATACACGCCAAACGAACTGAAACTTGTTTGACATGAAAGGGTGTGAAGCAGATGACTTAGTTGTCCGCGAGTATCTCCCACAGAACAGTGTCCATGTGGACCTTTTGCAGCCGGAGCTGATGACACCATCGGATCTACTAGCGTTGTTTGAACGTAGAGGCCTTGGATTCCTGGTGAGTACTACTCGTTCATTCGTCGCATTATCAGGCTATCTTCAATACGACCTAAGTGACGTTTTTTCCGAGGTGAGAAGTCCTCCGAATTGTACACATATCGGTGAAGTTGTCTGCTCCTTCTTCGTTAGTCGGTGGTTAAGTCTCGGGATGTCCATAGTCAGGACTCAACCGTGGCTTTTCGATTTCTCCTAAGATAGCAGCATCTTTTCCCTAGTGCCTTTTTGCAGTTGCACGGCTTCTGTGCACCGAAATGGCGCTACGGCTGAACCATTCCTTTTCAGCCTCCTGTAAGCTTATCGCTCCCCATACTACTTGCAGGTATGCCTCTGAGTCTCCTGGCTTCCGGCTGTGCACTTCTAGCGATCCAGAGACAGGATGTGTAGGGGTCGGTATCATCCTGAGTTACCTGGCAGAAGGACCCTATCTTGACTGGACACCCCTTAATAGCTACCCGTGTGCGGTTCGTCTGTAAAGGGAAGTTGATCGTTTACTGTCTGTCGCGTCTGGTCACGTCACAATCGACTTCAGCCTTGATACCATTAAGGACACGTTTTATGATGCCTGGGATTCTCTCTCACACGTCGTTATGGTTGCCGGAGAACTGAATGCACAATAAGAACAGACTTAGCGCGTCTGAGACTCGATTAGGTGGTCGACATGGGTTGTTCCCGTTACGTACGGACAGTGGCAAACGACAGCTTGAGCTACATGCTCACTGCGGACTTGTTGTATGCACGGACTGACTTCATTTGCGCAAACCTTCCGACTCCGTATGTGAGTCGACATTTTTCGTAAACATTCACCTTTTTTCTGTGAAAACTTTCTTATCAATCAATTCCACAGGTATCAAAGTCAGACCCATTCCATCGCCTGGTCGATTTGTACTATGACCATCTGATGCCAATGCCGATGCGAGCCGCTTCCCCGGATCTGACAACAGTTCCCTCAGTACAACGCATCAAACCACCCGCTGCTCCGGAGTCTCAAACTGCGACGCCAAAGTTGACCGTGAAGAGGAAAGCCGACGAGGTCCAACTGGACAGTCTAGTGATCAAGCATAATCCAAACTGGACGACTCCGGGAGAAACCGTCAGATCAGACGAACGAGTGCTCTCGGTAAAGAAGCCCAAGTCTTTCGACACTCTTGGACAAAATCACGTGAACCATTCAAGGAACTCGACAACAGCCCAGGCCTGTCCCACCGCTACCAAAACAGCCACAAATGGTTCAAACTGCACCCGAGTTAATTCGAGCCCCGGTACCGATTCCTGCAAAAAACGGGTCAAATTAAAACGGGATTTTACAGGACTATCTTGACCGTGTTTCTGTCACCAACCAAGCATCCCTGAAATCGCATTTGTACCACATCTTTCTGCACAGTATCAGCATGCTTTTTATGGTTTTCGATACACCTGTCTTGCTCAATTTCACCACTTCGGTGCCCTTATTGGTGGATCGTTCGATCTCACAGTGGGTGTCTTGGCCGTTATTCGGACATCCGGTTTATACGTACGGTGGTATGCTGTTCACATTCCGAAGGGAACAGCAGTAATCTACATTTATACAAAACTACTTGATCAAAATTTTGTTGTAGTGTGGTCCGCACCTCCCCGAGGACGGGTCCCTCGGTCCAACCGGAGCAACTTGTTGCGGTCGTGCGAACTTTGCAGTTTAATTACTGCACTGAGACACGTCTACCGGTCGCTTGAAATTCATGAGATAAATGGCCCAATGACCATAGGTTACATGTCTTAGCATGCTTCCCGGTTCCTCGCTTCAGCGAGACGACCAGCTTAGGACTCCATAGCATTTTGGGACGTGCAAATTTGAGTGCTGTAGATCGATTGAAATACGCCTAATTTACTGCGGTCTCACTTAGTGCGTGCACAACGGAATGACCCTAACCAACCAGAATACAAAATACATTGGCCTTGAGTGAATACGTCGTTTTATCGTAATGCGAGTAATTTCGGAGTGAGTTTGTTTATCCAACTATCCAGAAACAGCCCTCTGGGAGAACTCATCTGGAACCAAGTTCAGGGCACCTCTACACCTGCGTCTTTTGTAGGGCTCGGTTTGTAAAAGGTGATCATATGGCTTCAAGCGGAATCAACAAATACGACCATTTTTTTAGGGAAGATCAAACTTTTTCATTAGTGTGTTCTTAAAACTCAATTGACGGAGTTATTTGCCCCGCACTAGTGCAGATATTCTATCGGGATAGAGCAAAAGTAACGTAGCTACTCATAAGTAGCTGAAAGACGTAAATAAGTCAGTGGGTATTCTTGGATTGAACAACCTGATCACGACCTCTGAGCATAAAAGATAAGAGGGGCACTGATAACAATAATTTATTTGATCAGATCACAAGCTTCGTCTGGGGAAACCGCAAATGGTCCGTTGTCAACGAACAAAGTACGCCTTGGCAGTTTCCCATTTGCTGACGGGGAACCGGTACTCGAAGCGGAACCGAAGATCTGTAAAAATCAGAAACGCAGCGAAGCAGCACATTCAGTTGCCTGAGAAAATCACAAACGAGAGATTCAGCCGGGTTCCAGGTGAGTCTCTCGAAGAAACCAAATTAGTTTGCAAATGAGTGTATTTCGCTAATTTCGTGCAATTTGGTTAAAGTAGAACATAAGGTTGACGGAAACACGGGGACTGCGCCTGCCTGATGAGCCCCAAAAAGGGCGAAACCGGTCGTGGGCTGTCAACGGATTTTCAGCAGCCTTTATATAGTAGTACATTACAAAGATACGCAGCGAAGCTGTTCAGTGAGCGATCGGATAAATACAGGAATACGGCAACAAATGTGGGTAAGTCTAACAGTCTCACCAAGCGAAGTCCAGTCTACATACAAATTCATGGTTTCCAAAAAATGCGTTCTAAACCTATAAAAATGATGAACAAAAGTGCTGGAGATGGGGAAATTGATCACGCAACCTTAGTTACAGTCCGTCACGAAGAGACTGGACCTTGCCGTGGTGTGGCGGTTTGTGTACCTCGGTGACCCATTGAGCTATACTGGGGAGTGTCCGCACGATGCTCACAGGGTCTCTCACACCAGGTTTGTCCACGTGTAGAGGTCTGACGAACACAGTCTCCTGGCCCTCCAGGTTGATGGTTGGAACATGTATGGCGATGTGTCCCGTAAAAATAGTAGTGTACTTGCATCTCCAGCCGAATACCGCTGCCTTGCAGTTAGGCTTTTGAGCCAAAGGCTTTGGTTGAGGACCCTAATCGTCCTCCTGTCTGGGTGTGGGCGCCCTGGCAGTATCCCAGTCCTCGTACAACTACGGCAGTGAAGCGTCAGTGCCAACACTGATGTTGCTGTCTTTGACGATGATGATGAATCACAGGCAGTTCGCTACCAAATTACTATCGGGCCGTATACAGTAGAAGAGAATTACGGTGAGTTGGAGCAGACAGTATTTGGATTTTGAAACGCGAGAAGGACGAGGTACCAATCCGAAAGCGAGCGTTGTTGTGTTTGATGGCTGTAAGACCTATTACTTTCTGAGGCTTGCTTCAGGGGCCTCGTAATAAGACAATTCTTTCTCCAACGGTCTGGGGACTTTAACAAGTTGGTAATGTTTTGGAATATCGGTAGCTCGGGTGTATTGGTTGGTAATTGATCAGGTGGCTGTTGATCTGTTCGCCGAGCTTGGCAATTGATTTGCAAAC